AAGACATAGTATGTCCTCGTTAATAGTTGTTAAATTAAATTGTTTTTAAATTTATGATACAAAAACAGTATATTAGATTAACTGCTTATTTTTTGATAGAGAAAATATAAGTAACAAAAACACTTTTTTAAAAACTCTTTTTTGTTTATGAATCTATTCAAACCCATATCACAAAGTTTTTGATTATGTTGCTTTCAGTATTTGAAACAAAATATATTCTGGCTTCTCTCTAATTCTTCTATACTAGAAATCAGAAATTGATGTGGAAAAAGAAATATTCAAATTAATTGTTTACTACTGTATAAATGGATTTTGAGAATTTCCTAAACCACATTTATCAAAGTTCAATTTTATATCCCACTGAGGTATTTATTTTCATTATTTATACACTTTATACTTTATTGTTTTTTCCCCTAGAATGTGAAATTTAGAAATTAGTTGACAGCAGACTTCTTGATTGTGTACTGATACTAAATTAATATTTTGGAGTGAAGAATTATATCACTAAATTTTGTTGTAGATTATTAAAGTAAATACAAGGGTAAAATAATTTCTTGTTTAACTTAGAATTTTCCTAAGAGAGATTTATGAAATTATTTCAAGGCATTAAACAAAACAAAGTTTCCTTATATGTGATACAAAATGATACTTGCAAAATGGTTTCCATACATATAAGATTTAATACATTGATTCCAAAGCATTATTTTAGACTATGATGTGTTATTAAAGTCCTTTGTAAGTGAAAACAAACAAATAAATAAACATAATCCTTAATTCATATGCTAATATTCAACAAAGTACAGCTATTCTTGAAAAATGAAGATGCTCATCACAAAAATGAAATACATCTTTTACCATAGAATATTATATTTTGTTTATCAGTTAGCCCAATGTCTATATTTTGAAAATGTTGAATGAATTCTTCAAGCTTATACAACTACTTTCTGGCAGAGTCAGAATAAGACCCATAAGTTTAGTTCACTTTTGCTTTTTACTATTCCATTCTTGAACTAAATAAAAGTTATTTTAAAAAATTAATATCAATTACCTATTGGAAAAAAGAACCTTATGTTAAATATTAACCTACAATGAAGGATATGGTTACAATGCTATATACTAATATTCATCTAAGATAGCAAAGCAATGGCATTTACCTTAAATTTACGTCTCTGCTCTGCACAGCTGTTGAAGAACCACAAGTCTGTCTCATGGCTGTAAATGTAACAAGAACAATAATGCGACCAATTTCATACCTAAACTAAATTAAGTAGATCTGTCATAGGCTAGAAAATGGATAATGTATTTTACAATATATTTTTAAATTACAGATTATGGGAGTGTGCATGTGTGCATATAAAAGTGTGTGTGTGTGTGTGTGTGTGTGTGTGTGTAGGGGGAATATATGGTGACTGATGAAGTCTTGACTTGGGGTGGTGAACACAAAATACAGTGTACTGATGATGTGTTGTGGAATTGTGTACTTAAAACCTGTATAATTTTGTTAACCAGTGTCACCTCCCCCATAAATTCAATAAAACAGAAAAGAAACAAATGTGTGTGTGTCTGTACGTGAACATGTATATGTGAATTTACTCTTTTTAATCTGGAAATTAGTTTCATGAAATTGAAATCATTACCTATTCTCTTCAACTAACTTTCCTCATTATCGACCACTATGGGTATATCAAAACTACAGAGTGTTAGAAGTAGATATAGCTAAATAAACAAGTTAAGATGAGAGGCCATCTTCAGCTCTTATTACTAGGGTTTGTTATTTTGGGATAAGACTGTATAAAAAGAAAAATCTGGTAGCAGTTTAATATGAGCTCCTATTTGCATCATTATCTTTATATACTATTCATGAATATGTCATTAATAAATATATTTAGTGATTGTCCCTAATTAATTGATGTTTCATGTAATGAATAAAACATGCTTCAAATACATTTATTCAGATCTCTATACATGAAAGTGAAGTCACAACTATAATTGGTATTTAAGCTTGTAAAGTGTGATTTTTTTCTTTTCATTTTTCATTAACTATGTTACTATCTATACCATTTTTAGCATAAAAATGTGAAAAAATTTAATGAAAAAGTAATAGATAAATACTACTCTGCTAGAAAGACTCTCCACCTTGTCACACTTCAAATTTGGCCACCACTTTGCAACATTTGAAAGAAATTCAGTTGAGTATAGTAAGTAACAAATATTGTTCTTGTGATTTGAGCCATAAAAACATTTTTCTAAAATCTGTATTTTCTTTTAAACTTTATTAAATAATTCTCCATTGACTCTATATATTAAAATTAAAAACTCATATCTCTTTTGGCCCTCTAACAATATGCTATGCTTGATGAAGTACAAACCAACATGGTCTATTATTAACACTAAATGTCTTCAATTTTGTCTTTTAATTCTAAAAGATAATGTACGACAGCTCTATTATGAAAAATTGGTTAAACTCTTAAGTAGAAAAAAGAACTAGACTGTGAAAGAATCATAAAAGTTTTAATGTGTTAATGTCATATTAAATTGTTAAAATTTTTGGTGAAAATATTCTACCCTTTTCTTTAACATAAGTGGCAAATAGTGTCAGTCAGGTTAAACTGTATTTGCAGATGCAAAAATAAGTATTACTTAATATTGCTCATTGACAACATGTGTAAGCTAGCATAAAATGCTATTAGGTTTTTATTAGATTTTTAATACAGTCCCAGCATGTTTTCAGTTGCTAAGCTTATCAAGTACTACAAAATACTAAAAATGTGGAATCACATTATATTAACTGTGATGTATATTTTGGTGAACAAATATATCTTCATTCATTATTCTAAATTCTCATTCTTAAAAACCAATTTTTCATTCCTATGATATTTTGGTATGAGATCCCATTATAATTACAAAATAATAATAAAATGCTAGAATTTTATGATCTGTACAATGGATATAAATCTATGTTAATATGAATCACAAACCATTAAATATAAGTGACACAATAAACTAGTAATAGTTAACAACTGAAATTACTAAGAGGTATTTATAAACTTTTAATCACCATTTTATGATAAAAATTACAAAATTGAGGACTTATGCACAAAATTTTATTTATACAACAGTTGGTACATGAGCAACAATTTCTCACTTTGGAGTCATCACTATTCCCATATTATTGTGTGTGTGTTTTCCAACAAAAATTACACAGATTTTGGTTAAACGAAGTATCAAATTTTTCCTTCTAATACAATAAAAAGAGGAAGTAGAACAATTTAAACCCAGCCATTTTTTTTTCCCAGAGATATGCTGGTAACCATCAATAAAGAAACTTCCACTGGACTTCGGTTTGGAGAGGAAGGAACGACTACTTGGTCTAATTTGTCAAGGGACATAATAAAATAGAATTAGAATAATATATAGTCTTTATTAGATATTCAAAATAATAAACTCTTTCCTACCTTTGGCATATGCTTGCCAGCATCTAAACCTCCTTTGCTATACCGACATGAAAGCAAAATTCTTAGTCTGAAGCCATACTGAGACTAAACATTTCATATTCTGTCTTCTGTGACTTCTATGCAATTTTTTTCTGTCATGTAAATGTATGGAGAGGCCTTCATGGAATCAGATAACTCAATAGAAGTGTTCCAATCACTCTTATTACTTGAAGATATAAGGAGGAGGAAAATGTCTCACTACAGAATTATTGATTAGTTAAAAACAAAAGAAAGTGAAATTTATTTATTTATTACTTTAAATTAAACTAGACCTTAAACTCAGGCTGATTCAAAATAACTCACTAGAAATAATGGCAGACATCTGTAGTTTACCCTGTTAAAACATATGTCTTATGCCCAAAATGGGTTTGTTTCCAAGAAAATATATTCTCATCTCAAATCTGTCCAGGGACATAAATTTAATCTAGTTTTTAGGTAATAAGTAGTTCCTGGATTGTATACTTCAGTAGCCTATAATTCTGTCATAGAAACTAAGATTTAGAAGTCCATTATGCAAGACTTAGTTCCTAACATCTAGGAGTACACTTAAAAATGAAAACAGACAGCTAGGCCATAAAAAATTGTCAAGATATATTTGTTAAAGCAAATGTTTACATTTTTTAAAAAACTTGCTTATCTTTCAACAGAGCTGATAAACATTTTGAAAGATGTTTTATGCAACTCCAGATACCTTCCAAATATTTTAAAAATATACCCTATCCAAATATTTTTACCTCATACCTTATATTTTTACCTTATATCTTATACCTTTACTTTATACTTTATTTAATATTTTAAAATATACCTTCCAAATATTTTTAAATTATATCCTAAAATATTTTTAAATAAACCCTAATGGTATATTTAAAATATACCATTCCTGGAGACAATGTCCTATATATTTCTGTTAAGAATATATAAAACAATGGTTATATTATATAATAAAAAGTTACTTTGAAAGACATACTATTAGCTTCACAAGGCAAACATAGTAGGTACAACAAACTCCAGAATGTATTTTTATAACCGTAACATCAATAACTCCTTGGCAAATTCTGTTTTTCTGGCAACGTTGGAGGTTTTCTGCATTTATCACTCAGATACAGCTGTTGAAGGGTTGTCTGAGACTGTTTTGTTTTCTTCCAAACCATTTTACTATGATTTGTTTTTAAGAAAGAAATGTCATATTTTAACCTTTTTGTGAATAAAATTCTGTTAAAGTACTAGAAAAGAGTCTTATACAAAACTTTTTACATTTATATATACCAAATGCGGTTCCTACATACTTTTTGCAATAAGTGGCCTTGTAAACTTTTGAAATCTATGCTAATAGAAAATTATTTCTTTCTCTATCAAGAAGATAGTATGGGTTCTCTTTTTTAATTAAAATTTTCTACATATACAGGCATAATAATTTCCTGTATATATACTACTAGGTCTGCATTTCCATTCACATTATAAACATGTTTTAAAATAAGATCCCAAGAACAGGAATATTTTACCTACCTGCAGTGGCCTTTGTTTATCACTGCTTTTAGGAGATTTCAATCCACTTGTTTGCTGCTGTAAGAGAAGTTGTCTTGCTGCTTGGAGAGCCTAGAAGTAAAAAGGGAGGAACATCTATATATTTTGTTAAAGGTAAATTGATGATTAGTGATAGTAATAGGCTTCAATGTATAAGAAGCTCACTCCATTCTCTTCCCTAGAGAAAATTATTAAATGATCTTTTTCTTCTAATGTGAAAAAATGTACATAACACACAAATATAACTTTACTTAAAGTCACTGAGATGGATGTTATCTGGCAGCAAATAAAATTAATTTGTTTAAAGTTCTTACAAAGGAAAGAATCACAAACTGCATCAATAACCTCATTTCCACCAGGAACTTGTCTTTGAGTATTCAACTAAAAGGCCCACTCCCTTTTAAATTATTATTCAATTTGCATTTTCATATTACAATTTGGAAGCAAAAGCACTAAACTTCAAGTGTTACCAGAAGCTGTAATTAAATTTGACAAATCAACATCAGATTATCTTGAAATTGAATTAATAGGATTTTCACTAAAGATTTAACAGTTTTTTGTACTTACAATTCAAGGGGGAAACCTCTCCTTTGACAAAATAAAGTGAAGTTTTAATGCCAAATAAAATTAAGTGATTTTCATTTGCATTCTTAGCAAAATCAGAGAACAAAGAAATTACCACATAACTAATCAGGTTTGTTTCTAATGTATGACAGAATACCTATCAAAATAGGTGTTTTCCTTTATTTTTATGGTTTCCCTCCTATTCAGGAAAATAAAGCTTAACATAAGAAATTAATGTAAGCATTTTATTTACCAGAAGAGAGGCAGTTTGGCAATTGTACTATATAAACTTATGTAATAACTAGTGCCATAACAAAAATAAAATAAAATAAAACCCATATTGTGATGTTTTAAAGGTAACAGTATAAACTAATTTAAAAAACTTTTTAAGAGCCTCATCTGTACAAACTTATTTTTCTCTCAACTGAGTTCAGAGAACACTAATGATGAAATTTTTCAACACATGAAACTAAAATCTATCACTGTTTGGCTTTGTTATTCACTGTTCTAGAATACATAGTAAAGTTTTCATGATGGGGAAATATTTTAGATCAATTTTCTTCTACAATAATTAAGATTTTAAGATAAAAAAGTACAGTTTTAATTTGGTATCAATGATCTGGTTTTTAAAAGAGTTTCTAGTAACCATGACAACAGTTGCTTTGACAAGATGTGCATATGGCATTACACAGCCAGCTGGTGTGAACAATGTTTGAACTACTGCATTGAGATGCTGAGCAAACAGAAAAAGTTGCCACGTCTTAACCCTCAGGGAAGGCAGTCATCCCCTGATCAATTATGAAAAGACAGAGAGGAGGGCTGCTACAGTCTGGCTCCAAGCAAGTTTTCTGAGAAAGCAGGCAGACATAGAAACCAAAGTAAACAAACTGAATGCACTAGCACCTATACTAACAACATCGATTTGTCTTCCCATACAAGAGTCTGGCATAGTTTGTGAGACACACTTTTTGAAAACATACTCAAAAAAATCTTCCTCTGTTTTTTAAATTTTTCACATAATTACAAGTCACTCTAAATGTTTCTACAGATGGAACATTCCAGATAACCCAGACAAATTTATTATAAAGTTCAGTTTAAGGAAAGACCAAATAAAAACTAATTCCATAAATACTTTAATATCACAAAACTCAGTTTGAAAAATTTCATTAGATAGTCCAAATAATGTAGCTTTCTTTTTTTTAACTGCAACTTAAAAACTAACTACAAATGATATTTTCAAGTGGAAATTACAGTAGTGTGACTTAGGCTGTATCAATGTGAAAGTCTCAAAAAAGAATCAGTCCACTATTTTCCCCTTTGGTGCCAAACTCCACATAAAGTTTGCCTAATATTTTGCATATAATTGTTTTTCCCCTTTGGGTTCATCGGTTTATTTTGCATATATACAACCTTATTTAGTTTGTATTTAATTCTGTGATTATTTACTATTTGTAAAGGATTCTGGCAAACATAGTTCAGAATCTTGAAGTCCTGAAATCATCCAGTCAGACCATCTCCTTTTAGCAAATGGGGAGAACGAGGCCTGGAATAATCAAGTGCTTTGTTCACAGTTTCCTGGCTTCCAGGCCAGAGTGCATTACTGTGTGCCATCATGTTTCTGTTCCATCAAAGGAACTGTTAGTTGGAAATTAGTAAAATTCTAGTGAAGGAGAACATGTGGCATCATAATGATTTTTTTTTACCTGTAAAGAAGGCATACCCATTTATCAGAACTTAAAAAAAGGAAACTACAATATAATCTTTTATGTTTTGAGTTTGTAAGTGTTTAAATAGAACAACTATTACAGAGTATATGTCATTTTTATGGTGTTTCCAACATCCCTGCCTTAGATTTCATCACATAGTCTACCAATACCTGAAGGAGCTCTGTAAAGTCTCGTAACAAACACTCTGATCATTTGATCAATAAACTGAAGAATTCCAAAGTTGGAGAAAAAACCTTAGAGATCGTTTAGCCTAGTTTTCACATTTTGTAGACAAATAATTGAAGAACTAATACTATAATCATTTGATTAAAGTCACAAGAAAGTAACAGAATATTGTCAAAAGCTGACTCTTGTCTGTCAAGCCTAAAACCCTATTTCACCACCCTGAATTACATTCATTCAACTCAACCCAAATGAGCAACCCAATGGAATATGCAGTGCTCAATGGCTATACAAAGACACTAGAAAAATAGATATATTACAATTACATCTCACTAAACTATCACTAGACAAATGTGTACATGTATACTGTTTTTAAAGGAGTAATAATAATAGAATACCACAATATAGTTGGTTAAAACATGCTTCTACTTTTAAAGTATGTTGTTTTCATAAATGTATTTACATTGATTTTTAAAATAGCAAAGGGTATTCTTTTAATACAAATCCTTATGAAAAAGAACTCCTTTTCTATTTCAACATTCTTTTTGTAGTAGTAGATACTGCTACAGAAAACATGAGAGGTGGGAGACCAAAAAATAATTCCAGGAGATCAGGAATGATTCAAAATGCCAAGGCATAAATCCTGTCAATTTGCTTTTCAAATGCAGGCATCACATGACATTTTTTAATTTCCAGTATTCTGGATAACATTTTAGGACTTAATTTCAATAAACAATTGCTCGCACACATTTAGTTCATCTTTGCAAATTATTATTATTGCTACTCAAAAGTTTAAAGATTATGAGCAAAAATAATTCTATCAATGTAAGGTATTAGGCATCAAATTACATAAAATATTAATTTGACAATCACTTGTCTTCCTAAATTGGTAACTAGAAAGTTAAATGCCAGGGCCATTCACAAAGTTCTATGAGCCATTTAAATATTTATATAACCCACCTCTGGAAAAAAATTAATTTAGAACTAAAGGCAAAGGATGTTTCCAAATTTTTCTTTAATATTGTCTGAGTCTGATTCAAATGAATGATGAGAAAGAAGTTTCTAAAGCAGCCAAAGCTATCTAGTTTCCAAAAACACATTTGTTTTGAACTGAGAGCATTTTACTTAATGAAATTATCTAATTTTAGTAAAACTAAAGAAAATTAAGATAGAGCATAAAAAAATTGGAATCATCTGAAGAAACCTGAAACACTAATTCGAAAGAATATAAGCACTCCTATTTACAATTGCCAAGATTTGCAAACAGACCAGGTGTCCATCGGTAGAGGAGTGGATAAAGCAACTATGGTACATTTAGACAATGGAATACTATTCATATGTAAAAAAAAGAAGAAAAGTCTGCCCTTTTGTAACAGGGTAGAACCTGGAGATCAATATGCTAAGTGAAATAAGCCAGTCAGAGAAAGGCAAAAGATTTCACTCATATGTGGAATCTAATGAACAAAATGAAATAACAAGCAAAATAGAGAGAGACTCATAGGTTGAGAGCAGGCTGATAGTTCTGCAGGGATGGGGGGAAGAATTAGGGAGTAGAGGGATCAAGCAAAAAAGAAAAATGACTCAATGGACATGGGCAACAATGTGATGATTGCGGGGGACAGAGAGAGGTTTGGGTGGAGGTCGAAGAGGGTATACAGGGGATAAATGGAAATGGGAAAATATACAATGAAAATAAATTTTAAAAATACATATAATAGACAACTACACAAAAAAAATATATAGAGAGGGAAATATATACTGATCATTTAAAGAATATTTTGAGGGCTTATTTGATAAATAATAATGATATTATGACAGTAATATTTTTGTATCTTCACTGAGTGTTGAATGAGAATTAATATGTTTGAGTTTGTTTGCTTAAAGACAAGTTCTCAGCCTCCATTTTGAATTGCACTTCCAGAGTGACACTAAATTCAAGAATTTTTGAAAAAATCCTTACCCGGACTTTGTTATATATCATGCTATATCATTACAAAATAAACAAATTTCCTAAATAAAAGTATTTCTCGTGATAGTCTGAAAATAAGTTGAAATCAGATGAAGTTAAATATTTTGAAAAGATGAATACAAATGTGTAAAGGTATACTTTTTTGTTAGGCTGCAAAGGTGTGGAAATGCACATTTTGCAGAATTCAGAGCATTCTTTCCTTAAATATTTGAAACACCATTCCTAATAGTTACTGTATAATTTCAAATAAATAAAACTTTGTAAAGAAATACAAAGTTCAAGCATATCACTTTTCTACAGCAATATTAACTTTATGCTAGTTATAAATCTCATAGAAAAAGAGTAATTCTAATAAGTTATTATGAGAATTAATAGTGAAAAATCCTTTGTAACTTGTCAGATTAATACTTTTTTTCTTCTTGAAGGACATTGAAAACTTTACTTTCGTCCTCTTGAAAACACGGAAATAAAATTGTTTCAGAAGAGCTTTGAAAAATCTGGGAAAACCAAAAATGTTTAGTACTCTAAGGTTTATAAATAACTTTTTTCAAAGTAAATATATATATATATATATACATATATTTCATATATACATATGAAAAAAACAGACATTGCTTATATCTCTCCCCATAAAAATAGGAATGCTTAAA